TGTGTCACCAGGATCCAGAGGTGGGTGAGGGAGCCGTGACCCTTCAGTACCGTGTGGGTAGCCAGTTCTTTGAATATACAGATTCTCACTGTCCCCATCATCAGATGACAGGTGAGAGGGTAACACACTTGCCCATGAGGTGAGGTGGCATTGGCAAGGTCTGGAGGAGGGTCAGCAGGTGTCTTTCACTTGCATGCTTCCTACTGTAGCCTGAGGTGGGAAGACAATCTAGGTATCCAGTGCTTCCCTCTTCCCTGACCTTGGGAGAGGAATTGGGTGACTATTGCCCCACTGCTCTCTTCTCTTTACTCCATGTGTCCCATGCCCTTCCCTGAGCTGGAAGCAAGCCCTGCCTCTGCAGACTGGCTGTGCACTGCGTGGCCATGATGCACCTGCTGTGGAAACTGGCCTGGGAGGGGACAAGCAAGGCAGAGAAGGACATCCGGCACAGCGCAGTTAAGTCCAGCCTCAGCCTGGGGGTCCTGTCTCCCTTCACATCCTGTGTGGCAGTATGCATGAAACAGAGGGATGCCTGGCACTGTGGTAAGACCAGAAGTGGTGGGGATAGGACTGGGAGGGAAAAGTGGGACTTGTCGGTCTGGTGTCTCCTCACCATCTGCAGATCCCTGTCCTGTGGGCCTGACTGCCCTTTTGCCTGTCTCTAATACCTGAGTCTAATCCCCATCTACCTGCCTCTCTCCCCAGATTCTTTGCCTCCAAGTCTCCTCCAGGTTGTTCTCTCCCTCTTGCAACCTTGCTCCCTGCCAGCTGCTCTGGCTGCATGGCTTCAGGCCTCTGCAGTTCAAGTCTACCAAGTTTTTGATGCTCCAGAAGTGCCAGTTCTGCCTTGAAACACTTGGTCGCAAGGACATTGACACTGAGGCTCTCACCCAGCTTTCGGCATCCTGTAAAGGTAAGGAGAAACTTTTCAGCTGGGCATTCTCAAAATGTGTTGGACTAGGGTTGAACACCCTTTTCAGCATTTATCGTCTCACCAGACTTCCTGATTGTCATTGTGCTGGGGATGGATGGAGTGACAGACAAAACAAACTCCCACATCTCAACTCTGGGCTGGAAACTAAGAATCAAAATCCTTACTACTTCCCTGTATTAACCTTATTCTTCTCTCTAACTATTCTTACCTCTATACCCAAACACTGTTTGTCACAAAATATCTGCATGAATCTTTAGCTTTACCTTCATGCAGTTTGGGAAAAAAGAGTCAGCTATCAGAGACATAACCTTTTGCACAGCAGTTTCCAGGCTTCCTTTCCTTCCAGACTTCTGCTTGTCCAAGACTCATCTTCAGATCTCCAAGGATCACCTGCTGGGAACTTTTTGTGATTGCTGTTGACAAGGAGACTTAACTTCTGTTGACTAGTGTTTCAGTCATCTCTAATGGTCAGCTTCTGTTAACTATTACCTATTTAGAGAGTGTCTCTGCTTATCATCTTCAAGAGACTTCTAATAGTGGAAGAATTGTCAAGCACTTTTTCAGCTGGTGTTTGGGAAACATCTGTGTATCAGGTAGACAAGAAGACAGAGCTAGCTAACAGAGACATAGCAGTTGGTTCAGCA